CACCTCAACTCTGTTCTCCACTGGCAAGAGTGGTGGGCATTTGTGCTACTTTTTATCTTACTGTCATGGTACCCACAATGCATTTGCCATGTCTGTGCTGCTTGGTTTTGGAGCTATTTTATGGACACCTCAGATCTAAATATAAAGCAACAAGGATGTCAAAACTGTTCATAAGAGAAAGCATATGTATAACTATGATAAATAGTAGACTTAAAAAAAATGAAACAAATGCTTCAGGTGTCCTTGATAAATGATTTCACAAGAGAAAGTATTCTGAAGGACAAAGTGAAATTCCTGTTACAAAAAGGGACTCTGACCATGCAATCAGAAAAGACAAAGATGGATGAAATAGAAAAACTTCCAAATACATGGGCTCAAACACAGTATGAATCCTGGCCACTCATTAGAATCACCTGGAGCATTTAAAAATGATCAATGCCCAGAAATTTGGACTGAAATGGTTGGGCATTTAGTTTCTCAAAGCTCCCTGGAAGTTTTTGCTTGCAGTCAGGGTTACAAGCCACTGTGCTACAGAGAACCAGCATCCACAACAGATACCTATTAGCCTAATGCAGTGGTCTTTAAAGTGTAGTTCATGGGACCCTTTCGCGGGTTTATGAGGTCAAAACTACTTTTATAATACTAAGAAGATATTTGCCTTTCTATTGTGCTGCCATGTGTTGATGGCACAAAAGCAATAGTAGCAATAGAATTATCATCTTAACCAACTCCCCCTCCCCCAAACACTGAGGCATACAAACCTTGCTTTTCCTCTTGAATTTCCTGTGGAATTAATGGCATTATTGTATAATAAAAAGGGCACAAGGTTTAGTGACAAACAGAGCTGTTAAGTTTAAATCTTAGCTTCAATATTTATAAGCAGTGTGATCTTGGGAAAGACACTTAATCTTTCTGCGCCTTTTTCTTCATAAGTACAAGGTGGCCCATAACGTAAGTCTTTAATAAAACATTGTATGTAAAGCGTCTGGCAGAGTAGGTGCTTAACCAATACTTCCTTCCAATCCAACCAATCATACAAACTGGAGTTGTGCTTCATCACCCCTCACTAAGCATCTTCAAGATATCTTCTTATTTATCCTTTCCTTTCAATCTAACTACTACTGTCAAGAGTTGAGGCATTCAATCATCTACTACCTGGATCACTGCATTTGTTTCTAATCTAAAGTGGTCTCCCACATTTTAATCTTCGTCTATTTAAATATACCCTCCATATTGTTACCAGTTGGTTTTCTAGAATGAACACCATTCTCTTCCCTGCTCTACAGCCTTTATCAAGAAAGCAGCTAAATATCATCAAAATATAAAGTCCTTGGTAGGGCACAAACCACTTCAAGATCTGCCCCAATCTTTCTAGTCTCATCTCTCATCATTTCACTCCCTAATTTCTATTTCCGCCAGTCTCCAAGCAACTATTCAAGTTCATGCCCTTTGTCTCCATAACTGCCATTTCCTTTATCCATCTAAAGGATAGAGAATGCTGTCCCAGCTCTAGCTAATGACTCCTTCCCCAATCCCTAACTCACTCTTAAACATAAAAGTCAGTGTTACCTCCTTGGGGATGTCTTCCCCGCAGTTCTCAGCCAGAATTCCTCTTTCCTCTGTGTTTCTAATGTATTTTCTACATATCTCCGCTACAGGATGAGGAAAAATATTTCATATTCCTCCTCTGATATTCAGTTTAATTATAAAATGTGGGCAATAGCTCCTACTTTGCAGGATTTGTGAGCATTAAAATAAAATGCTCACAAATTAAAATAAAATAAAAGTCACTTAACACACCAAAAGAGGAAGAAATGAAGATCAACTTCTCCAGGTTAAGCAAGTAAGGATGGGAACTGGGAATGGTTCTGATCCTGTTCGGCTCAGTCTGAAGCCCACGATCTTTCCATTACAGGTCTCTCTACATCACAGCAGATAACACACAGAATTTACTTATTTAATAATCTTCCCCACTTGACTGTGAAGTCCTTGAAGACACTGAGCATGTTTTACAGGACTTTTTATCCCCAGACTCTAATTTGAGTACTAACTCTAACTGACACTATGATGTAGAGATTAAAAGAGCTATTCTCTACTTTAAGAACTCTGCCTAGAGAGGGGAGAAATATAGGCAATACTCTATTGCTGTTTTCTGTGATAAGTGCTACGCTAGAGGGATACTGGAGGTGTATATGTTGACTCTAGATGTCCAAACGGATCCCTAAAAGCAGCAGAAGAAAACAGAAGGGGCAGGAAGGCTTCCTGGGAAGAGATGAAACTTGAGATGAATCTTGAAGGATGTTAAGAGTTAGGGAGAATGAGGCATTCTAAAGTTCTTAAAAGTATTAATTCATAAGTGATATAATTATTAGACTATGTTGATAGTTGTAAATTATTACTGCTGATAAGCATTTCATGGGCTTGAAATGCATTTTAAAAATGGACTCATTAAAATACAGTAATTCAGATTTAAGTCATTATCCTTGGGTTACCTCACAAATATACAAAGTTTAGGCACAAACTCAAAAAGAAACCTCAGGGCTGGCCCCGTGGCTTAGCGGTTGAGTGCGCGTGCTCTGCTGCTGGCGGCCCGGGTTCAGATCCCGGGCGCGCACCGACGCACCGCTTCTCCGGCCATGCTGAGGCCGCATCCCACATACAGCAACTAGAAGG